CAGCTCAGAATGAAAATGGAAACACTTGAGTGCGAGGCAATAATATAATTATGCTTTTCATCTACAAATGAGGGAAGTTTTCCAAGCTGCCGAGCACGTGTTATGTCTTGGGACCAAAGCAATTATACTTAAGATTCACTTTTACCACTTAAAGAGATCTCATTGCTCTAAGAAGATAAACACTTATTTTTACAAACTGATAAAGATGTAAGACTCTTTGTCAATGTCGCAGTATAATTGAATTTTAAAAAATCACTAGATAAATTCTGAGTGTATCAACGACCAATTATTTACTTAATAATAGTTTCATAATAATTTATGAAATATTAGGTAAGATTTCCGTAAGTGCTCACTTCATAAGAGGATAAAAAATAAAAAAAAAACAATGACTCAATAGCAAGTAAACATATCACGAAAACATGTGACGAAATATTTCATGTTTTTCCCAAAAACTTAATCTAAACACGATATAATTCGTTGCTAACATTCTGTCAGGAATATTCCAGTCGTAAAAGAAGATGAAAAATTAGTTCAAGATAGAGAAGAATACATGAAGATGGGCCACGGGAAAGAAGGCACACAAACAAAAACTAGATTAAGAAACAATGAAGAAAGAACAGTAGGTCCGAGGGTTGGCATTCATGAGCGAGCCTGCCTTGCTCCTGTTGTACATATTCTCCACTGCGTGACTTCTCTAATGGGGCCGAAGTAGGAATAATGCGACGTGGACGTAACCTGCGCAAGACACGCTCGCAAATGCCACTTGAAGGTGCGGTCATGAGTCTGCAAAATATGAAACCCCTATAATTTATGAATTTGAGATTTTGACATCAATAGGTTCATTGTCTAATAATGCACCTTCTTACAATATGACATATTCCGCGAAGGATATTTTACTGCTTAATTTTATAAAAACCAAATTTAAAATTCCAATAATTTCTAATATTCAGGTAATATGTTTTATGACATATAATTTCAAAAATACATAAACAATATCAAATACTATTTATTATAATGATAAAGTAAGAAAATAGCGACATAAAACATCAAATAAATTTATATCCAAAGTATAACTTGAAGCTCTAAAAGCTTTCAATTTTTAGCTCCCCGGTAAAATTTAGTTCTTGTTGGTTACTACATTTTGCGGTTTAATGAACAAGTGACTGCAGAGATGTGACCAAAATTTCTAATTTTGATCAGGACAGTCGTAATTCGTCTCATTCTCCCAAGCACAGCTTCTGGATGCTCAGATGTACCTTTTTAAGGAAGAGATAAACCCACGGAAAGCTTTTTTAGAATTCCCGCCTACAGTTTATTCTTATTGGGAAGAATCACTTGACTGTCCGGGAGATACTGCGACATAGGCATAGTTCCCAACGTCTCTAACTATGGCTAAGATGAGGCGTCTTCCGGAGAGCCAAGATAATATTGATTCAGGCCGCAAAGGCCTAAGCTTTCTTATTTGAAGTGCTGAAATGAACGTAAAAAAATTGTGCAGCAAAAAATATACGAAGCACATCAATATATATATATATATATATAATAATATATATATATATATATATATATAATATATATATATAAATTATATTAAAAGTTTACCCTGTATCAACGTGCGTTTCTTGCATGCATACTAAGGGGTGAGAGGGGAAGCGGGGAGCGGAGAGTACTCCCGCCGCCGCAGGTAGGCCGGAGCAGAGCGAGAGCGGCGTCTCGCCCCAGCGGTAGAGCGGGCGCGCGCAGGAGGAGCCGTCGCCACGCAAACACCCGCACGCGTCCACTTCTTGAGGGAGCCGATGCGCAGGTCGCAGCCCACGCGCTGCAACAGCCCACCTACAGCTGCGCCCTCGCCCGCACGCCACCACCCTCACCCTCCACACACACCTGCTCCTCCACATACAGCCTTTTCCCTTGCCTGCACCCCCACAACAAACAGCCCCTGCCCTCACCTGCACCCATCCACAAGCCCCTGCCTCTCCTCCACACACCACAGCCAGCGCCCCCCTCTCGGCTCCACACACACCTGCTCCTCCACATACAGGCCTTTTCCCTTGGCCTGCACTCCCACAACACACGCCCCTTGCCCTCCCTCCTGCACCCATCCACAGCCCTGCCCTCTCCTCCACACACACAGCCCCCGCCCTCGCCTCCCACACACACCTGCTCCTCCACATATCAGCCTTTTCCCTTGCCTGCACTCCACAACACACAGCCCTTGCCTCGCCGGCACCCATCCACAGCCCCTGCCCTCTCTCCTCACACACCACAGCCCCGCCTCGCGTCCACAGTACACCTGCTTCCTCCACATACGCCTTTTCCCTTGCCTGCACTCCCACAACACACAGCCCCTGCCTCACCTGCACCCATCCCCCAGCCCCTGCCCTCTCCTCCACACACCACAGCCCCCGCCCTCGCCTCCACACACACCTGCTCCTCCACTACAGCCTTTTCCCTTGCCTGCACTCCCACAACACAGCAGCCCCTGCCTCACCTGCACCATCCACAAGCCCCTGCCTTCTCCTCCACACACACAGCCCCCGCCCTCGGCTCCACACACACCTGCTCCTCCACATAACAGCCTTTTCCCTTGCCTGCACTCCCACAACACACAGCCCCTGCCCTCACCTGCAACCCATCCACAGCCCCTGCCCTCTCCTCCACACACACAGCCCCTGCCCTCGCCGGCACCCACAACACACAGTCTCGCCTGCACCGTCACACTCAGCCTTCGCTCCCACTCACAGCCCTGCTCTCGCCAGCAGCTGCATACTCAACCTCTGCTCCCCTTAGCCGGTGGAAACAGAAATGTTTACTGTATGAGCTACGACCAGCAGTTCTGCCTCAATGATAAAACACATCCCTGATCCGCTATGCTGTGTCATATTCCTACAATTTCTGTCCACCATTACAATACTTTGCTTTCGTTCTTTTCCATTTGTGACAATTAAAATTCGTTGTTATAGTAAACTTACACTACGTGCTGTGCTTATGTCGCATCTGCTCTAACCAAATGCACAATGTACTTCGACATTATTTCGAGCATTATCTATAACCTCAATTACCGTGACTTTTAAAATACCAAGCTCTTTTTATTAATATCCTGCTATGTCCTTTTCCAACCTCTTCCTCTCCACCTTTTGCAACCTATGAGTTGTTTTTTGCATTTAGAAGGTTTGAATTTATTTACATATTTTGAACCTTTTGAATCAACCAACTACATTCTATTAATTTTCAAAATATTTCACAACTTTTTCATAACGATTACCAATTTACTCTCCTTTAATTAATTTATACTTGGCATAATTTCTACAAGACATCCAGCGCAATTGGTACTACGTATCTTTTGGTACAAGCTACAAAAAACGCAGATAGGTAGAAAGTTAAACAAGAACTGCATGAATTCCTGGACTCAGCAGAGAATAAGTTTGTCTTATTCTATACTGTAAAAGATGGATGTTCTTTACGCATGATTTTGGACATTTGATCTCCAATCTAAACCAGTTTTTCGCCACGACTTTTTAGGCACTCAAACCATTATCTTCATAGAAACATAACTTCTTCAACTATGGGTACTTCTGTTAAGAAGTAAATATTTTCGTTTTAATCTCACAATTTAACTAAAAAAATTATGAAAGTGAATCTTGCATTTGATTTTACAAAAATAAGAGGTTATTTAATTAATTTCTGTTTCTTTTCATCTAAGTGACAAATACTTATTTTTTTATTTTCTTATTCTCTAAATATTTTTTGCAGAGTAAAATAACAGCTACCATTTCTTTCATTCCTCAAAAGGAAGAACAAAATGCAGCATTTTTAAGACAAGTGCTACAATGCCCTCTTCACGAAGCATCGAAGAGGTTTAGCGGATATCCTCTCGAAATCACGCAGCGGGCGACTTCTCTCCGTCTTAGAGTTCCCCCTCCCGCCAGCGCTCCAGGCTCCTCGAGCTGCTCTCCCGTGCCCCGCCCCCGCTTCCACTCCATTCCTTCTCCTCCTCCGCCTCCAACGCACGCCCCGCGCCGCCCGCCCGGCCACGCCCACCTGCTCGCGCCCAAGCGCCGCAACCTCCCACGCCCAGTCGCTCGCCTCGCCCGCCCGCAACTCTCACTCGAATCCACTTCTGCCCCCAACCCCTCGCTGCTTTCCACAAGGCGCTGGAAACTTATTGCACTCTGTTCTTCCCTCGGCTGCCCTGAAACCTCTCCTCATTGTGCCCTTTAAATATTGAGCAACAGTTCTCGAGGTACTTCACTTAAATTAATAGTAGTCAGGTTACTCGATCGAAACGCGTTTCGCCAGAATAACGCACAGTCCAGCTTTCAATCAACTAATGAAATCTTCTTTCATATTTTCAATAGTGTGCATATTCTACGGTAGAGTAAGTTCTGTTACCCTGACTTTGATTAATTAGAGCAATGAAAAATATTGAAATAAAAATGTCTCCGAAGATTTTTAATTACTCATTTCACCAATGTACACATGAATACAAATTTTTAAACTTAATATTATTAGATTAATACATCATAATAGAGAACATTTTAGTGTTGCAACTAAGAAAAAGTCGTCGAAATCATTGAGTTAAAAAATTAAGAAGTCAATAAGTGAAAGAATGGATTCAATTTTTAAAAGAATTGCAACCAATGAGTAAACGATACATTCTTATCTCTGTATGTAATGGGTAGAAAGTAGAAACTGAAATTACTTCTTTAAAAAAATCGCCGCACTGAAGTAAAATCTACTTTCTAGGGAGACACGACTCCACTTTTTAATTCGTCCATTCGTGAAGACTACTATTAAAACAGGGCATAATAACTATGAGGGAGAAATTCGCAAAGAAATCGCAATTACCTCTCTGTGCATCAGTTAGTATTGTTCGCGTGAAGGCGTGCACTGACCTGGCACTTGCCGTTGATGCACATGTCGAGGCTGCCGGGGCGGCAGCGCGTGCCGTCCTGCACCTTGGGCGCGAGGCGCACCACGATGCTGTCGTCGTCGGCGTCGGCGTCGCCGTCGGCGTCGAGGGGCGCGGGCAGCGGCAGGCCCGGGTCGGGGACGGCGCCGGGCGCGTCCACCACGCCCAGGGGCGCGGGGGCGGGCGCGGGGGCGTCGGCGGCCATGTGCGGGGGCGCGGCGGCCAGGGGCAGCGTGCGCACGCGGGGCAGCTCGCCGCGCGGCCGCCCGCGGCACGTGAGCGCGCACGGCTCGCTCTCTTCGTGGTGCGGCGTCCACGCCAGCAGCTGGCCCTCGTACGGCAGCTCGTTGAACGCGGCGCACTGCTGCAGGCGGAAGTCGCCCGACTCCGGGCACGGCTGCGGGCACACGCGCGGCGCCGCGCGCCCGTCAGGCTAACTGGCCCATTGCCCTCCCACATGCACAAAAAACAACAGCGACAGAACTTATTAAAGTGACTTCATGGTAAATAAAAGATGATCTTTGATTTATCATAATAATAGAAGGTATCTACCTCACTAGCGATCTAATTAATGAAACGTGACTTCATTTAGATCTGATAGTTTTTTTGTTATTTAACGTCCCATCAACATCTACGTCATTAGCGACCACTATTGCATTAAAAATATTATTACTATTTTGAATGTGATGTTTTAGTTAACAGTGCAACTCATTGCATTTAACGGTATGGTAACATGATGTGGTGATGATAGGGGGTGAAAGCAAGAACACAAATGCAACCGTGCCCAAGGTGGGACTCAAACCCGCGATCCTTCGGTCCGAGATCGCAACGGCTCTACTGCCCGACCGATTTCAGTCATCTGGACGGGCCTGGTAGATATTTATTACAATATAATTCAATTTGTTTTATGATAATCTTAAAAGTTAGAAAATTGTAATTGAGTGTATAATAATTTCAAATTAAACTCAGGAAGAATACCTCGAAACGTTACGAGATGAACAATGTTTAAAAAATTAACAGAACATTTCAATAACATTTTAATCTAAATTATGTTGTTTGTTTTGTTTTTCAATATGTTTATGACTGTATAAAATAAATTCTTGGTAAGGAATGTAATAATATTTTAATGAGCGTCTGAAGATAGTGGAAACTAGCTACATGCTGAGGCTGGTAATGGGACACATACGGCTGCAAAATCTATCCGTTTAGTCCTTTTTATAGACAAATATTCTGAATAGAAATAATTTGCAACTCCAACAATATATTTAAGCAACACATTCGTATTTTGTTAGACTGAGCTCCTTTTTATTATGACCCACTGAATTAAACCTTTGAAAGCGGTCAGGCGAAAGAGCAGGCCAAATGGCAAGAGACTCGCCATCAATGAAGATATTTACTTATTTCATAACAACGTATTGCAGATTCCTCCAATAAGAATGCCCTGCGCGCCCGATCGCCATTACAACCACGAGGACCGCGCGTAGTGAGAATCAAAATTATTTTGGGCGCCCATAAGTTAAAATGATACTGCAATTAAAGTTAGTGTTTAAATTAGTTTCAAGACATAAACGATTGGAAATGTTCAGCGTGATGATCATTAATGATTTTTTATCTAAGATCTTTTTTTCAAATGTTTATCTTTTAAATGAAAAATGTACCAATCAACAATGTACTTTGCACGTACTAACAAACGTGCAGTGCAATTTGATTTGCTTTACCGTACACGAAATTAATTTCTTACTACTGATTGTTATGGATGTAAAATGTTTCAGTGACGTATCGATCATATTCAGCAAACGATAAAACATAGCGTGAGACACATTCTGTTGATCTCGTCCATGGCAAATCTTCCATTTCCCCAAATGTATTACGATTTGGATATTTCCGCGTTCCTTCTCGATTTCGCCGAGCATCAGATCGCCCCCTCTTTCCAAAACCCTGTCGCCGCCGGCGGGCGGGGCTGCCGTGCACTCTTCGTCCGGAGCGCCAGCGGGGCCCAGCGCGCGTCCCCGGGCGATGATAAAAGCGCGATGGGAATCTGCCCGAGGCGGAAGACAGGCGCAGCGCGTGCGCAGAGGCGGCGCGGGGGCGCGGGAGGGACGGGGGACGAAAAAGGGGTACGGGCTGGGACGTGCCTAGCCGGCGGAGCGGGCCGGTCGAAGATACAGCCGCCACGACCAGAGAAAACTTTCATCCACTCAAATTTGATTG